AGGATCCTCATTTGATTTTATTTTGTTTTATTTTATTTTGGGGACAGACTCTCACACTATTGCCCAGGCTAGAGTACAGTGGCACGCCATCCACTCGATCTTGGCTCACTGCAACCTCTGCCTCCTGGGTTCAAGCAATTCTAGGATCCCCATTTTAGTGAGAGAAAAACTGAAGCTCTATTAATTATCTATTGCTGCATAACAAATTCTCCCAAAACATAGCAACCTAAAGGAACAATAAACAGTTATTATCTCATGCAGTTTCTATGGGTCAGGAATTTGGGAGTAGCTTAGCTGGGCAGTTATGGCTCAGGATTGCTCATGAAGCTGTAGTCAAGATATTGGCTGGGGCTGGGAGCAGTGACTTCTGCCTGTAATCCTAGCACTTTGGGAGGTTGAGGCAGGAGGATAGCTTGAGCCCACGACTTTGAGCCCAGCCTGGGCAACATAGTGAGACTCCGTCTCTACAACAAATTAAAAAATCTACCTGGACCGGGCGCAGTGGCTCACACCTGTAATCCCAGCACTTTGGGAGGCTGACGCGGGCGGACCACGAGGTCAGGATATCAAGACCATCCTGGCTAACACGATGAAACCCCGTCTCTACTAAAAATACAAAAAACAAGTAGCCAGGCGTGGTGGCAGGCGCCTATATTCCCAGCTACTCAGAAGGCTGAGGCAGGAGAATGGCGTGAACCCGGGACGTGGAGCTTGCAGTGAGCTCAGATCACACCACTACACTCTAGCCTGGGTGACGGAGCGAGATTCCGTCTCAAAAAAAAAAAAAACAAAAAAAAAAACTAGCTGGGCATAGTGGTGTGTGCCTGCAATCCTAGGCACTCGGAGGCTGAGGTGGGAGGATCACTTAAGCTTGGGAGGTTGAGGCTGCAGCAAGCTGATTGCGCCACTGCACTCCAGCCTGGATGACAGAGGAAGACCCCAATCTCTCTCTTTTTTTTTTGAAACAGAGTCTCACTCTGTCGCCCAGGCTGGAGTACAGTGGCATGATCTTGGCTCACTGCAACCTCCACCTCCCGGGTTCAAGTCGTTCACCTGCCTCAGCCTCCCAGCTAGCTGGAATTTATAGGCACACACCACCATGCCCGGCTAATTTTTGTAATTTTAGTAGAGACAGGGTTTCACCATGTTGGCCAGGCTGGTCTTGAACTCCTGACCTCAGGCAATCCACCTGCCTCGGCCTCCCAAAGTTCTGGGATTATAGGCATGAACCACCACACCCAGCTCCCAATCTCAAAAAGAAAAAAGATATTGACCAGGGCTGCTGTCATCTGAAGGCTTGACCAGGGCTGGAGGTCTCACTTTCAAGGTGGTTCACTCACTTGATTGGTGTGTGGATGCCAGCTGTAGGCAGGAGGCCTCAGTTTCTCACCACATGGAGCTCTCTACAGGGTTGCTTGTGTCCTCAAGATGTGGCAGCTGGCTTGGACCAGAGAGAATAATCCAAGAGAATAGATGGTGGATGGAAGGTGTGATGCCTGTTGATAACCCATCCTCAGATGTCACACATCCCTCAGTATCTAATTGATTACACAGGTGTAACTATTCTCACACTGCTATAAAGACATACCTGAATGCCAGGCTCAGTGGCTTACACCTGTAATCCCAGCACTTTGGGAGGCTGAGGAAGGCGGATCACCTGAGGTCAGGAGTTCCAGACCAGCCTGGCCAACATGGTGACAACCCTGTCTCTACTAAAATGCAAAAAATAGCCAGGCGTGGTGGTGGACGCCTGTAATCCCAGCTACTGGGGAGGCTGAGGCAGGAGGATGGCTTGAACCTCAGAGGCGGAGGTTGCAGTGAGCCGAGATCATGCCATTGCACTCCAGCCTGGGCGACAAGAGCGAAACTCTGTCTCAAAAAAAAAAATAGAAGAAAAGTGTTTAGACAAGGCATGGTGGCTCATATCTGTAATCCCAGCAATTTGGAGGCTGAGGTGAGCAGATAGCTTGAGGCCAGAAGTGTGAGATCAGCCTGGGCAACATGGTAAAATCTTGTCTCTACAAAAAAAAAAAAAAAAAAATTAGCCAAATGTGCTGATGGCGCTCCTGTGGTCCCAGACACCTGGGAGGCTGAGGGAGGAGAATCACTTGAGTTCCAGGAGGTCAAGGTTGCGGTTAGTCATGATTGCACCATTGCACTCCAGCCTAGGAAAAAGTGCAAGACCCTGTCTCAAATTGAAAAAAGAAAGAAATCTCTTAAACTCTTGGGCTTAGTGGAAACCAGCATCCAAGATGGCTCCAGTAATTCTCACCCCCTGATATTCATGCTCTTTTGTCATCCCCTCCTGCATGGAATAGGGTTGACCTGTCGATATGGTTTGGGTATGTGTGCCCACCCAAATCTCATAAAGCACTGTAATCCCTAGTGCTGGAGGAGTGGCCTGGTGGGAGGTGATTAGATCATGGTGGGTGGCGGGTGGTTTCTAACGGTTTAGCACCATCCCCATAGTACTGTCTCGTGATAGAATTCTCATGAGATCTGGCTGTTTAAAACTGTGTGGCACGTCCCCTTCACCCACTCTCTTCTACCTACTTCTGCTGTGTAAGATGTGCTTGCTTCTCCTTCACCTTCCACGATGATTATAAGTTTCCTGAGGCCTTCCCTGAAGCAGAAGCCTATACAGTCTGTAGAACTGTCAGCCAATTAAACCTCTTTTCTTTTCTTTTCTTTTTTTTCAGATAGCTCTGTCGCCCAGGCTGGAGTGCAGTGGTGCGATCTCGGCCCACTGCAACCTCCACCTCCCGTGTTCAAGAAATTCTCCTACCTCAGCCTCCCGAGTAGCTGGGATTACAGATGTGCACCACCATGCCCAGCTAATTTTTGTATTTTTAGTAGAGACGGGATTTCACCATGTTGGACAGGCTGGTCTTGAACTCCTGACCTCGTGATCTGCCCACCAGCCTTGGCCTTCCAAAGTGCTAGGATTACAGGCGTGAGCCACTGTGCCTGGTCTAAACTTCTTTTCTTTATAAATTACCCAGTCTCAGGTATGGTTTGTTTTTTGCTTGTTTTGGTGTTTGTTTGTTTATTTGTTTGTTTGTTTTTTCTTTTTTTTGAGACAGGGTCTCGCTCTTGTCGCCCAGGCTGGCTGGAGTGCAATGGTGCAATCTTGGTTCACTGCAACCTCCACCTTCTGGGTTCAAGTGATTCTCCCACCTCAGCCTCCTGAGTAGCTGTGATTACAGGCATCTGCCACCACACTTGGCTAACTTTTGCATTTTTAGTAGAGACAGGGTTTCACCATGTTTGCCAGGCTGGTCTTTTTTTTTTTTCTTTTTTTGAGACAGAGTCTCGCTCTTACCCAGGCTGGAGTGCAGTAGCACGATCTCGGTTCACTGCAAGCTCCACCTCCTGGGTTCACGCCATTCTCCTGCCTCAGCCTCCCAAGTAGCTGGGACCACAGGTGCCCGCCACCACGCCTG